TGTGTGTATGTGTGTGTGTGTGTGTATGTATGTATGTATGTATGTATGTATGTATGTATGTATGTATGTATGTATGCATGTTTAGATTGTCATGAATACTATTTAAGTTGTCTAGTGCCTAGGCTGTTGGGCTTGCAACCAAAAGTAAGTAAGTTTGAATCCCGTCTTGGGCCCAATTTTGCACCTTTAGATGAATGTACCTCACTGTACCCCAGTGAGAATGGGGCAATATAAACTGTGAAATGTGTGGTTTCTGTTGAGCGTGGGTATGCGATATTTCGTTACACCGCTCAATCCAGTCACAATTACTTTTACATTTTTGCTTGTGGAACCAGAGACCATAAATACCGTCTTTATAAACATTGGGTGGAGCTACAGAGCAGAGTGGCGCAGTGGAAGCGTGCTGGTCCCATAACCCAGAGGTTCGTGGATCGAAACCACGCTCGGCTAATTGTTTTGAATTTGTTTTTATTTTATATACCCCCAAAAATACTATGCAGTGTTTCTTTTTTTGTGTGTTCTTCATTGTGTTTGTTTTATTTGTTGTTGTTGTTGTTGTTGTTGCCGTTGTTGTTGTTGTTGATGATGTTGTTTTACAAGAGTACACGTATTTTTCTCTTGTATATGTGCGTGTGTATAAATGTTTGTTTGTATTTGTGTGTGTATGTGTATGTGTGTGTGTGTGTGTGTGTGTGTGTGTGTGTGTGTGTGTGTGTGTGTGCACATTTTTGTTTGTGTTTGTGTGTACGTGTCTGTGTATGTATAAATAATAATAATAGATAGCATTTGTATAGCGCAAATCCCCGCTCTACAGCAAGCTTAATGCGCTTCACTATCTATACTATTACCCCAGCAGACCTGAGAGCATTCCAAAACAACCTCAACTTCTTGGGAAGCATACAGTGTTAGCAGCCATTTATATGAGCTAAAACACTAACATACTGACAAGATCTTTCGCTGTCTATGGTTGGGTACCGATGCCAGTATGTGTGTATACAAGTTTGTGTGCGTGTCGGGGGAGGGGGTGTATGCATGTTTGAATTGCCATTAATATTTGTTACGTGGTCCAGTACCTCATGGTAGGCTCTCTTGTTTCGCAACCAAAAGCGCGTGAGTTTGAATCCTGACTTGGGCCTGATGTTGTGCCTTTACCGGAATGTACCCCACTTTCCCCCTGTGAGAATGGGGCAATATAGACTGTGAAATGTGTGATTTCTGTTGAGCGTGGATATGCGTTATTTCATCAGACCGGTGAGTCCACTCACTATTAAAAGTACATTTTTGTTGGTGGAGCTACAGAGCAGAGTGGCGCAGTGGAAGCGTGCTGGGCCCATAACCCAGAGGTCCGTGGATCGAAACCACGCTCTGCTAATTT